TCTCTCTCTCTCTCTCTCTTCTGTTCGAGAGATATCCAGGTGTTTTGTACTATCTTTATGTTTATGATCTATCTTCTCTCTTTCTCTCTCTCTCCCCTGTTCGAGAGATATCTAGGTGTTTGTACTATCTTTATGTTCATGATCTATCTTCTCTCCCTTTGTTATTTGATTTGTACTATCTTTATTCGTGATCTATCTTCTTTCTCTCTTTGTTCTCTCTGTCGCTATATATAGCTAGTTAGTTATGTAGTAGGGACACACTTTTAGGTTTACTTATTTCAATATATATACAGCGGAAGGATAGGAAGAACCTTCACATTGGTGCACTAGCCGGGAACTCTATTAATCCAACATCTTCGAGACAATCGGACCAAGCAAGCAACGATTCGTAGACGCATCTGATATCGCGAACCATCAAGACAAATAAGGTAAGGTCACGTCATATAATACACCTGTTTCACTGCTCGAAAAGTGTAAATCTGAAACGTTACCACAGCACTAGCGCTAAACACATACTGCCTATGGTCAGACTTATCGGTGATGCTCCCTACGAGGACATTGTTGAACTGCACCAGCGTTAACTAACTAGCTGCATATAGTGTTTGTTGTGGCGAATTAGACTACATTTTGACACAGAGAGATACGGAGGTATATCGGACGCGAAAGTATACGCACGGGTGACTTCACTTCACGATACGCACGGGCGACTTCACTTCACGATACGAACGGGCGACGTCACTTCACGATACGAACGGGAGACGTCACTTCACGACAGACCGGTAGCACGATACAAACGATCGATTTTACCCTACACCGTCATACGTCATCGGTAATCAACCATAAACGGAGTCGACGGATATAAAACAGCAGAAGATCAAAGAACGGGCAGATAGAACAGCAAGTCGGGCGGCAACGAAAGAACAGGCTGAAAACAAAATTAAAACGGGCAGGAGCAACGATCGAACAAGTGAGAACGACTCATTGAAAAACCACCAACCGATTAACGAACAACCAATTTCCATGACGCAACATCCCATGCAAGGTGCAGCCAAGTTTTCGGCTAAATCGACAAAGGATGCTAAGGAATGGCTCGAAGATCTAGCCTTTAGATTCGCAGCCGTCGACATCGATATGACAACGGGATGGAGGAAAATTTATCTCTATTTTGACGAACAAGCGGGGAAATGGTGGCGCGAGAACCAAGGCAACTTTGAAGATTGGTATAGCTTCAGAAAGATCTTTGAAGAAGAGCATAGTCCGTCGTTAGTATCAATTCGGGCAACTGCAGCCAAGGACATGGCAGATCGAAAGCAAGGCAAGAGCGAGCCTCTTACCGTCTACTACCACGACAAGATCAAACTCATCAAAAGGTACGAAAAACACATGCCAGAAGCTCAACAACTCGAATGGCTTCAAGCAGGGATGTGGCATACCACACTTGAAGAATTCCTCAAACACACTATCACCTCCACCAAGGAGCTGAAGGACTACGCCATTCAAATTGAAGCAAAGCAGAACCTGCTGGCTAAAATCAAAGCGGAGCAAGACGAAGGAGAGCGCACTGCAAGATTTGTGCAACAAGCCCAACAGATCGGCGAACAACCACGATACGTGCCCCCATATCAGCGCAACACGGTTAGCTACGCCGACAATACATCGATGCCCAATAACCAGCGGGTATCTCAACAGCCATCTGAGTGGCATAACCGGTGCTATCAATGCGGCACGTTCGGACACATTGCTCGAGAGTGCCATTCTTATCATTCAAAAAACTTTCGGGGGGAATGAATGGTGGTACTATTCCCTCACATCACCTCCACCAATCACTCATCATAATCGCAGTCAATGTCAACGGCAGCAAGCTCCAAGCGATGGTGGACACAGGTGCTACGTCAACATTCATTAAGGCAGCAATAGTACACAACATCAAACATCGTCGCATCACTCCGACACAGACAAGAACAACATTAGCTGACGGGCACTCTACTCTTATAATTCTTGGAATAGTCCCGTTGCTTGTAAAAATAAATCATGTGCCTACGTATGTAAGAGCGTTTGTGGCAGAAAATCTCACAGCCGACATGATCCTGGGGATGGACTGGTGTTCAAAGAACAACGTCGAAGTATACGCCAGAAAAAAAGAGGTGGTCGTGTGGCATCATCGACTGGGCAGGACAACAGCTCACTTCAACGAGCAAGCCTCAGTGGACGTCGAACTTGCTGACAAGATCTGTCTACAACCTTACGAAGAAAAAGTCGTCCAAGTTAACGTAGCACTGTCATCGGCGCAACTTGTCTGTTTTGAACCTGACATAGCTGAGTGTACAAAACGAGCAATTGCAAGTTATACGGCGGTTTTGACAGTTAACAAGTGCTCATCCAACGTCTTGTTATTTAATCGCACAAACCTACCTAACACCATCAGGAAGGGGACAAAATTAGGTTCGATCTACTTCATGTCGGACCAAACAAACACACACACTCTACTCGATAACAAAACAGAACACGTCGGTATGACCAGCACCAACAGTGAACTCAAGCCGCAAGCGAATGAAGTCAATGCGGTGATTGACAAGTTAACCGAGCATATTACCAACAACCAAGACCGACACGATTTCCTCGATATACTTCATCAGTTTCGTCATACGTTCGATACATCAAAAGCCACGCAAGCCCACGTTACTATTCATCACACCATCCCAACAGCCGATGCTCGACCAACAAGTGTTCGCCCATTCTACAAGACTCCTCAACAAAGAGAGACTCTGCATAACGAGGTGAAAAAATTGCTTCATGACAATGTTATTCGAGGGTCAACATCACCATGGGCATCACCTGTCATTCTGAAGAAGAAACCAGATGGCACATATCGTTTTATCGTCGACTTTCGTCGCCTGAATGCCGTTACGAAGAAGGATGCTTATCCACAGCCCACTACCGAAGAACTGCTGAATCGCCTAGCAGGACACCGCTTCTTCACAAAACTCGATCTCAAGTCGGGCTACTTTCAAATTCCCATATCCGAGGCCGACAAGGAGAAGACAGCGTTTGTAACGCAAGATGGCTTATACGAATTCAATGTATTAGCACAAGGCCTGATGAATGCACCGCCCACCTTTCAGCGTGTGATGAACAACCTGATCGCCACGGGACGATGGAATTATGTTGTCGTTTACCTAGACGACATCCTCATCTTCTCCGACTCAATAAAGGAACACAAGAAACACGTGGCCGAAGTACTATCGATTCTTCAGAAAGCCCGCTTCAGAGTATCACCATCCAAGTGTGTCATTGCTGTTGAAAAAGTCGAATTTCTCAGCCACATTATCACTGTCGCCGGCATAGAACCATCACCAGATAAAATCCAAGCAATCTTGGACATTCCATCACCAAAAACGCTAACCCAAGCAAACAGATTCATTGGTAAGATTGGCTACTACCGAAAGTTCATCAAGGACTTTGCCAAGATTGCGGCACCGATTCACAAGGTGACAAATAAACCGGGTCCCAAGAAAAGGGAATTTTACTGGGCTGAAGAGCAACAATTGGCATTCGACAGATTCAAGCAAATTCTAACTACACCACCATTATTTCTTAACTTCCCTGACAAGTCAACTCCGTTCATTCTCTCAACAGATGCAAGCAAGGTACGAGTCGGAGGTGTGCTCAAGCAAGTGGTCAACGGCAACCTCAAGGTCAACTACTACCTCTCACGACTTCTATCACAGACAGAGAGTCGTTACAGCACAACCGAACGTGAAGCATTGGCAATAATGTGGTGCCTTGATAAGCTACGTTATTATATCGGCGACTCAACTATAACCATCAATACCGACCACAAACCGTTAGTCAATTTCCATAAGAAGCTAAGCTTTGCGAATAAGCGGGTCGACAGCTACCTACTCAAAATGCAGGACATGCTCCCACAGATCGTCGAGATTAAATACAAGCCAGGCAAGGAGAACAATGATGCCGACTACATGACAAGGCAAGACGACCAAGGCCGTGACGACAAAGACGAGTGGCCGAGAGGAACAGTGACGTGGGATGATGAGGTAATTGCAACAGCCTGCACACGATCAAAAACGAAACAACAACAGCAACCCTTATTACCGACAAACGACACTGTAGTACTCAACACACCAATAGCAACAAAAGCCTCGACCAAGTCAATTCCAGCAGCCACAACACCAATTGACCTCACACATGACCGAATTCGACAAGCACAGGAAGGAGATAGCAATATTACCACTATAGTCAAGCAGCTGACCGACGGAAAAAAGAACGACCACTTTTGTTTTCAAGACAACATTCTGTTCCGGTTGATCCGCAAGAAAGGACGTGGCACATTGTCCAAGGTCGCATATTTACCCAACTCACTGATATCAACAGCTATGGATGCGTTTCATGACCATCCTTTGAGTGGACATTTTGGGACGACGAGGACATTTAACAAACTAAAGGCTCGATATTGGTGGCCACAGATGCGACGTGCCGTCGAACAACATATTAGATCATGTGACAAGTGTGCACGCCACAACATCCGACGAACCAAGGAGGATGGCCATCTAAAGAACATCCAACCACCCGATGATGTCTTTCAAATCGTGCACATGGACTTCTGGGGACCAATGACAACATCCGATGATGGAAACCGTTATGTTCTAGTGCTCACTGACAACCTATCAAAATATGTCATCGCTGAGGCCTACCCAGACTGTACTGCAAAGACAGCGGCAAAGTTCTTCGTGGAGAAGTATATTCTAGTACATGGGGCACCAGAGCGGCTCATTACAGACAATGGTACTCACTTCAGCAATGCCTTGATGAAAACCATCACACAGACTACCAACATCAAGCATGCGTTCTCCGCATCGTATCATCCACAAACGAACGGTCAAGTAGAACGGTTCAACGCAACATTCTCAGCACAGTTGGCCAAGTACTGCAACAAGGAGAAGAGTGACTGGGACGTCTTCCTGCAACAAGTAGTAAATGCCTACAACACCGGTATTCATGCAACAACAGGTTTTGCTCCTTATGAACTAGCGTTCGGTCGCAAATTCAGAAGCCCGTTTGACTCAACATCTCCAGTAGTTAAACTATCACGTGCTACCGATTTCTACAAGTACCTCCAACGATCAAGGAAGATTATCATCAATGCCGCGTGCGAGAATATTCGGCAGCAACATCACCTGTCAAAGCAACGTTATGACACTAATCGGAAAGACACCACCTACGACATCGGTGATTTAGTCTATGTCAAGGTGTGCTCGAATCGTCATAAGCTGGACGAACGGTGGCTAGGCCCATTCGAGATCATTCAACGGTGCGGTGACCAGAACTACATTGTGGGCGAACAAGGTACGACACGAACGGACCGTTGCCATGTTAGTCAACTTCGACAGGTGGTAGAGCGGCACAACGTAGCACTGTTGGCAAATTAACCAAGCCTGCTGTGATCCTCTTCTCAACAGCATATGCTTCAACAAAGCAGGTGTCACCGGGGTGGCGACGGTGCCCATTCTTCATTATCAGTGTCTACCTTCAACAAGGTGATGAAGGCGGCTCGACGGTGTGGCAACGGCGATCGTCCAAGGAAATGACTTTATGTCAATCATCGACATCGATCGACAACATGACAAGCCAACTTGGCTAGGACTTTGTCCTCGACTACATTCATCTGTCAATCTCATTAGCCCTTTTCTAGCTTTCTCGTTCTTTTTTTTCTTTTTCTTTTTCTCTTTCTCTTTCTCCTATGTATTCATGGTTTTGTTTCATCTCTGTTGATGCGCGGGGCGCGCATCTTGTTAATTGGGGGGAGGTGTTACGACCTGCTCTCCGGTTAGGTCGTAGAGCCGCCCCATCTACAGTATCTCTTATTATTCTTCCTACATCTCACCTGTTGTTTGATTCGTACTCTCTTAGTGTTCATGATATATCTTTCTTTCTCTTTCTCTTTCTCTCTCTCTCTCTCTCTCTCTCTTCTGTTCGAGAGATATCCAGGTGTTTTGTACTATCTTTATGTTTATGATCTATCTTCTCTCTTTCTCTCTCTCTCCCCTGTTCGAGAGATATCTAGGTGTTTGTACTATCTTTATGTTCATGATCTATCTTCTCTCCCTTTGTTATTTGATTTGTACTATCTTTATTCGTGATCTATCTTCTTTCTCTCTGTGTTCTCTCTGTCGCTATATATAGCTAGTTAGTTATGTAGTAGGGACTGACTTTTAGGTTTACTTATTTCAATATATATACAGCGGAAGGAAAGGAAGAACCTTCACATTGTTAACTATCGTCTTAAATTTGCAGCTACTCGAGAGCAAGAATGAGGAGACAATGTGACAGGTACAAATCATAAGCGTTTACACACCAGATTTTCATAAAAATAATATGTGTATTCTCTAACTGTTATAAGTACAGATTAAAAAATAACTCAATTTCACTAAAAAAATCTTATAATTATTTTATCTTTTAAGTTAACAATGGTACTTGTGTTTTTTATATGAACATTGACACATGATTCTCGAAAACTAACAAATTCATTTGAATTAATTTCTGTCTGTTGGCAAGTAACTTACGTTAGCATTTGACATTGATTAGAGTAAGTGGGATAAAATTTTAAAAAAAAATGATAAAGAGTGTATATGAAGGTCCGTCAAGCATTATCTAAAAATATGACAAGGTTTTTTCTGACAATTGGCCACATATTGTGCAAGCGTAATAAATGTAAAAATACTCTCTAAATAGTAACACATTACTCATCTCTCTTTTCAGCGAAGGTTTGCGAAACAACGTTTATGTAGAACTTATGTGTATCTATTTTTCCAAGGATAGAATAGTAGGTGTAATAATGAACATCTTAATAAGTCTTCTATTTTGATTGACTATGTGGTAATAATCATGAGCGAAAAGTCAATGGTTATATCAAATGATTGTAGATAAATGCATACTGTGAATTTGAAAACAAGCTAAAAATTATGATATCACATTATTTTGAGAAGAGATATTACATATTATGAATCCTTAGTTCCAGAAATACCACTAGATCTAAGCCCGTTCCAACTCATATCACAGTAGGTTTTAATAATTCTTCAGTTCAGAATTTTTGATAGCCAACTCTCATTTACAAAAAAGTGTAATCAATTAAAATGTTATAAGTTTACAATACTATATATAACCGCTCATACACATAAATAGGGATTTCATCACCAATGTTGAGTCAGTTTATCCAGCTCATTGAACGATATGTTGACATACATTTAGTCTGCATTACATTGCATAAAGAATAATACGAACTTATATGCAGTAGAAAATAGAGATATGATCAAAAAAAACGATGACAGACTGGCCAATTGTTTTCATATTAGTTGAAATGATAGAAGATGCACATAGGTCGTGACTTTATATTATCGGCAGAACATTATCCTAATAAAAATTTAACTGCGTTGTTCAAATTAGTCGTCTTTGAAATTGAAAAAAAAGAAAACATTTATATACTGAGAGCGCTGTAAACAAGATAAGTAGAAGAGTCGAGAGCATAACCACCTGGTTGATGTCATTGTTTTTCTAATATTACTGAAACTCGAAAAAAGAAAACACAAAATAATTGCGTTTGAGTTATTCATTTGAACATGAATGAAACATTTATCTTGTTGACTATACAGAAAAACTAGAATGAATTTTTCACTATTTGCGTGCTTGAAAAGAAACAAAAATACTTCTTAAGCACTTCTAAGATGAATACAGTAAAATAAACTAAGTTTTCTTACTATATTTTCGACTTGTTCTAGTGAATTGCTGTACTTTCAGAAGTACCTCTTAACACTTTTTGGGCGTACGAAATATTTTATATTAATTAGCACATTTCTATCATTAAAACTATCGTTTTCTTTACCTTACAATTATATTCATTACTATAGTCACACTCAAGAAAGATCCCCTTATTAGTACATACTATATTCCTTGTTCCGTGGCAACTTTTTCAAGTACTTGAAAGTGACTTTAATTATAGTATCGAAATTTTTACATACATTGTTTTCTTCAACTACATTCTCTCTCTCTCTCTCTCTCACCGTCTACCTGCCCACCTACTCATTTATCTATCAATCGAATTTTCAGTCATTCCACTACGTGGTTGTTCAATCGACATTCATCCAAATGCTCGATGGAAACAAAATGGTGTCACTGTAGCCGGAGGAAATGAACAAGGCAATGAGATCAATCAACTCTCGAACCCATTGGGTCTGTATGTTGATGATGATCAAACTGTCTATGTCGCTGATCAATCGAATCACCGTATTGTGGAATGGAAATCGGGTGCGGCGAGCGGTCAAGTGGTTGCCGGTGGAAACGGAAAAGGAAACGGGGTTCATCAATTGTCTGACCCATTTGATGTGATTGTCGACAAAGAGAGAGATAGTCTTATAATCTCCGATAGTTTAAATTGCAGAGTGGTTCGATGGTCTCGTCGAAACGGGACAAGTAGAGAAACGATCTTCTCGAACATCGTTTGTGTGGGTTTGACGATGGACGTGAATGGGTCTCTCTATGTCGTTGACAGTGGACAAGCGAAAGTGAGACGATATCGAAGAGGAGAATATCAAGGGACAGTGGCTGCAGGTGGCAATGGGCAAGGAAATCGTCTCGATCGACTCAATGGCCCACGACACGTATTCGTCGATCGAGATCATTCAGTGTACGTATCTGATTTGGGAAATCATCGTGTGATGAAATGGATGGAAGGTGCAAAAGAAGGCATTGTCGTGGCTGGTGGCCAAGGAGAAGGAAATGGTCTTACACAATTGTCATTTCCTCAAGGAGTTGTTGTCGATCAATTGGGCACTGTGTATGTGGCTGACAGGGGGAATGCTCGAGTCATGCGTTGGCTCAACGGAGCCACACAGGGAAGTGTAATTGTGGGTGGAAACGGTAAAGGAGGACAATCGAACCAACTCTATGATCCCTTTGGTTTATCATTCGATAAACACGGTAATCTCTATGTCGTCGATAACGTAAATAATCGAGTACAAAAATTCAATATTGAATTCAATGGATAATTAAAAAAAGAGAGAAAGAACAAGAAGAACAAATACCGAAGTCTATAAAAAGAAAAAAAACATTTGAATTATTTTTTTTAACAACGAAAAATTTATGCGTGTTTCGTTTCTTTGCTTCTGTGTTGTAAGTTTTTGTTTTGATTGTTCTAAAATTTGTAATAATAATTCAAAAAATGATATTAAAAAAATAATTGGAGATCTAAATTCACCAAAACAAAATGTGAAAAAAATCCAGATTCACCAAAAAATTTCAAAATAATCGATACTTAAGAAAAAATCGAAAACCAATAGCTTAAAAACATTTTTCGGAAACCATGAATACATAAAAAAACTTTCAATTTCTTGTCAATCTATGAAAAAATTTATCAAACTAGATACAAACCTAGTAGCCCACGCCGCATAAAACTCACGGAATTAGTGGGAATCGTTGTAAATCCTTGAGTTAGGCGCTCCATTATGTGCTAGAATCCTACCTGAACATCGTGAATGGCGAAGAGCTCCGAAAGCTAAGATTCCCGAGGTTCCCAGAAGACCTTCTACCATATGAAACCCATGCGTATTTCACTATAAGTGATACGTTAAGAGCCCGTTGGAATTATTGTTAGTCATTAAAATATTTGCACGGAATCAGAGATGTGCAAATACGAATACGACTTGTATCCGCATGTATTCTTATGTATTGGATCCATGTCATGGTATAATACCATGTATACCATGGCATGGATCTGATACATTAGAATACATAAAAATACATACGGATACGTGGCTATACATGCAAAACAAGCTGATGTAGGCCGATACTTGTTTTTAGGACAGAATATAAATTGCATGTCTTTCCCATGATGATGGGAAAACACGTAGAAAACTCATTTATTTTTATATATTACGTTTCATAAATAATAGAAAACTTGAAAATTATTGATGTTTTAGTGAGTAGCACTAGTCTTCACACAGCTGCCACAACTAAAATAGTGATATCAACTAAATCTTTCAGTTCAACTCAATGTATGAATAATAAGGATCATTTTTCTATAAATCTATTCATCATCTAGAGAAGAGCGTTTTTAATTATATATCATTTGCTAAATCATTCGTTTAGTTTTCAATTCGACATTCTCATTTGATACCATCGAAAGAATAAAATATGATATAAGTAATCTGTATGGAATATTTACTCCGAAGATTAAGATTTAAGAATGAGTTTCATTGGAAGTGCGTTATTGAGTGTGGAATAAAACCATCATTAGGTGACTCATGCATGTATGATTATAGGCAAAGATAAATTTTTGTATTTATCGGTTTTATTTATTCTTTTAAATAATACCTTTTTTGTTTTCTTTTCATTTTAATGAGTAGAATATCTAAAGTATTTGACTTTATATCGAAGGCAATTGATCTTTGCGTCCTTGAATCTGCTTCACCGCTACATTATTATTTGCCTTGAAGAATAAGAGTATGATCGCTTCATGTTTTTGTTTCTTCATGACTAATCTCACCATCTACGTCATTAAGATAAAAAAACAAGTTCCGATTAAAAATGATGATTTACGAATACGCGTTACCGTTTCACTGTATTCACCTTTATTGTTAATGGTTCCTGCCACGCCCATAGAATCAGTCCGACAATTGGATCCGATCGGATTTGATGTGAATTTCTAGTAAGCCGACGAATTCATTCGTCTGAGAAAGAAAAAACCAACACTTAGATCGGGTTATCATCAAACAACTAAAATTGTTGTAGGACGATAAAGTTAATCCCATACAGACGAATCATCTAGTACAACACCCTTTTTGTTTTTTACTTAGATCATTGATGGCACGAATGAAGTAGATTAAATTCAACATCATACCATAGAGACTTCAACATAAATTCATTGATTGTTTTCTTTAGAAGTCAGTCGACGTTATCTATCATATACATGTAGCTAATATTAATTAATTATTTGAGAATATTCAAGCTTCATACGATGATAAAATTGAAGCACCAATAGATATTCATTTTAACATATTATATACAGGCTTTTACTAAATGAATCTTTTCTTTCTTTTAGAAATTATTTATTAGTGATCAAAATATTCTCTCATTGCAAAAAAAATGCGCGACAAACATCAATCTGAACTTCGTTTCAAAATGAATGTGGAAATATAGTAGAGGTATGACAGCTGTTCTCAGATCCAAGTTCAGATCAAATGTAAGTAGTAATTGTAAAACAAATAATTACTATTTAATGCGATGCGAAGCATAGCATTTCTGTTATGCGTCGCGAGTTTTTTTTTTCTTTTTTACTTGACCGTACGCACCTTTTCTGTCGTTTTGTGACTCTATGATCTCGAGAACCAAAAATCGTAGAAACCTCATTTAAACGCAAGATAGTAGTATCGAGATCGAACTGCTTACACCTGTTTTCGAATCTTTAATCTGACGTTCCGTTCGCTCACAAATGTGGTTCCGAAATGACGAAAATGAAAGAAATTTGTTGCAAGATAATTAAAGTGACGTCATGAACATATGTTAGCCACTATAGTCTATTCATTTACAGCTGATCTAAGATAATGAATCATGATGATAATTAATCGATCAATCGAAATCGATCCTTAAGAATGTATCGCTAAGTAAGAATAGAGTTTTCTGAGTGATGAATTTCATCATGTCGACATAAAAAGTATTCAAGATTTCTCTGAATTGCAGATTTTTCCTGGATGGAGATTCCTGCTTCGCATCGCATTTCGTATTCGAGTGAAACTTGAATACCATCTAGTTTTTTCTTTCTTTCAAACTTGAGTACGCATAAAAAGTTCTTATTAAGTGACGCGATGATCTAAAGAACCGTAAATGATAGAAAATCCATTCAAACTAGATATGAAACTATGGAGGTCGAACTTGTTACATCTTTTTTCCAATTTTCAATACTAGGTTTCGTTCGCCTAAAAATATCATTCGACAGTAATGATTTTGAAAGGTTTTATTGTTTGATAGTTTCGCGCTAATTAAAATGACGTCATGAATAGTGTTAACCAATAGTCTATTGCTTTACATCTGATTCAAGATAATGATACATGAAAATAATTAATCGTTCAATGAAAAAAATCGTGAGAAAACTGGTTGTTACATTTTCAGAAAGATCTCCTAGTGATGAAATTCAAAATGGTCGATTTAAGAATAGTGAATGCGAAATTTTTATTCAAAATTCGTATACGGAAATTTAAAAAAATAATCGATTCTAATGAATCTTAAAGTGGATCATTTATTTTTTAAACCTCATTCTCGCTACTTTTGAATATTCGACTCGTGTGCTTCGCACCGCATTTCGTAGTCGAGTGAAACTCGAATACCATCTAGTTATTCTTTTAGTTGCATATCAAATTCAAGATCATAATTAAGTATTATTTTACAACATAATATTTTTTTTGTTTCTTTTAATTTAGGTTCGTTGCAATAAAACAAATGAATAGTAAGCATTATTTATGTTAAATTAATTGTTTTTATCTTTTAAGATTGATCGAGCAAGTTGCACAATAACAGTAAGTATTTTTATATTTGAATCAATTTTTGTATTTTTTTCCATTTAGATGTGCTTCAATGGCTCATCAAACTGAACATGATTTTTGGCTAAGAGTGTTTGCCGAAATTCTCTACTAAACCCTTTAAGAGTTTATTATTATACTTCTATCGAGATGTGTATTAGATTAGCAGTCGGGATTTCATTTTCGGTTTTTAATGAAAACTTTGTTCAGATTTTAAAGTACTGTATCGATTAAAAAAGTCTCGTCGATTCACTTTGAAGAGGCTATGTCTAGTATAGCATTTCTTTAATAAATACCACTCATTGAAAATCATTGTGAACGATAGAGTTTTTTATTCTAGTAATTATTGAAAATAAAATTGGACAATTTGAATTGATTGAATATTTGTTAGATTAGTTGTAACAATATTTCATTGTGACAAGAATTAGCAGCCTTCTTCCGTACACTGTAATTGATCTGATATCAACGGGATTATACTTATTGTTATCGATGATTAAATTGTATATGTACTATTTTTTTTATCCTTGAATGCTACTTGAATATTTTAGAAAAGAAATTATTTGATGCGAACAATTAAGGATGATGTGAGAATCGTCATTACCACAACTAAGAACTCTTTTGATGTTTCAGAATCTTGCCTTGGTTATATAGGTTTGTGCGATTGTACTTTATCATCTAACCTTTCGAGAAAGAGTGTCGATCATTTCACTACTGAAATAAATTGTAGAGTATCGAAATCGAAAGCAAAATATAATTCATTACATATACTTTTCTGTTCAGTATGAAGTTTCGGCGCACACTGCTATCCAGCAACAAATTTTCTTTATTTCTCTAGAAAGAATGCGAATGCCTTACATTGTATCACTAGAGGATAGTAATAGGTTAACGACATACACCACAGTGAACACTATAAGTTCATGCACCCACATGTTTCCTTCAAGCTCCTCAGATAAGAGCACGTTGTTAATCTCGATAGTTTAAGTAGTTTAGTCGTCTTCAATTGGCAAAATGCTCATTCTAGCATTCTTTGAGGACATTTTAAAACGATGTTACTTTTCGTGATAATAAAAATGAATTTAATAGGATATGCAAAAGTACAAATAAATTTTAGTCCTTCACAATGATAGCTTGATTAGATATAAATAATGTTTGAATGCAATTTTCATTGATCCACTATTCGAAATCGAGAAGTTTGGTCAATTTACGAAGAGCTCGTCTTCGACTTTGAAACAATGAACATTTTGCATTAGCTGGTCGATTGCATCCATTAGTTCCACAACAGGTTAGATTTCTATACACGTTACGATATTTCTGCATCTCAATGCACATGTTCTTGCCGAGAGGTGCGTATGCCCATTTCATAATACCGGCTGATTGTTCTTTTTGAGAACATGCTCCGTCTCCTTGGGTGCATTGAAAATAATATTTGGCGCATTGGCATGCTTCGCCATCGCCGCAGTCACGCATGTCTGGTAAAAGCATGCATTCCGTGTCAGTGCCCCCATAACATTGAATTGATGAGACGATCTTCGTGAGAGCACAGCAGATCAAAGTCAAAAATAACAGTCGATTCATAGTGCGGGTAAAAAACAAAAAAAAATGTATATGTACGTTGTCGAATACCGATTTATGTGGCAGCTCCTAAATGTTATTCTTTCTCACCTGAATATCAGTATATACTGTGTAAATAAAAGGAAAAGAAAGATTTTTTTTCTTAGCAGCCAATCGAAAATACAGTTGTCATGAATGGCTCCATCTTAATAGTTACTCCTGTAAACAAGAAGTGCAAAGAAAAAGGCGTGGTACATCGTTTCTACCCACTTTCTCCTCGTCCACACGAAAGACTATATCTACTCGTTTTTCTGCGTTTTTCTTAAGGATATGAGTGTGGGTCTATAGATCATATACATATAACTCGTATTAGCGATGAAGTAAATTCTTTTTTTTTATATCAAATGTAGATTTCTGTTTTAAAGATCATTTAATATAAAAATTTACATTTGGGTTTTTTCGCAATGTTCCACGCACGTTTAAACAACGTATTGAAAATTGTCCATCTGCACTTGATTTAAGATATCAAATTTTAAAATTAACGCAAATTATTTTGTAAGATCTGAAAAGTATGTGATCACGTGAAACGTATAAAGAACAACAAATACTATATGTTAAACAAATTACAGGATCTGAAGAATTATTTGAGAATATTCAAGCTTCATACGATGATAAAATTGAACCACCGATAGATATTCATTTTAACATATTTTATACGGGCTTTTACTAAATGAATCTTTTCTTTCTTTTAGAAATTATTTATTAGTGATCAAAATATTCTCTCATTGCAAAAAAAATGCGCGACAAACATCAATCTGAACTTCGGTTTTAAAAAAAAATATGAAAATGTACAACGTGTTATCACCAACTGTTATTGCATGCTCACGCGATAATATTCAAAAAGTTGTTGAATTTGGTTATAGTATATTAGGAAAGAAAAAGAAAATTTTGTTAATTTTTCCGCTTTGAAAACATGGATAACCTGTGCAATTACTTTGACGATCACGTTGTGGTCGAGGCAGACCCAAATTTCATTTGCAATTTCTTTGGATGGCAGCAATATTTTCACGTAAGAATTTATTATTTCATAAATTGAATCAAATTTATTCAATTTTTTTATACAAATCGAAGGTATGACATTCAATGACTCTAAAGAAATAACTGATAGTTCTATAGTATTGTGATCCGATTATGTCTTATTGTCGGTTTCATCTCAGGGCTTTAACTGGCCTCTAGTGTTGGTTCTAGATACTAAATAGTGTGCGAACAATAAAATATGCATTTTCCATCGGATTCATTCGCCTGGGTATATGTGTGATTAAAGTTTAGCGCGAGTTTCTTGAAAAATTCAATAACATGTTCGGGCTTAGCGGATTTAATACTTCATTTTTTTTAATTGCATTGTTATATCCTTAATATGCTTTTTTCATATTATTATAAATCTCGTGCAAAAAGTTCAACAGTAATTTGACGATTATTTCGTCAATATCCAACGGATAAAAATACGTTCGATCTTTTTCTCTAAAATAATTTCTTATTTGACCAAATATTCAAGAGGCTAAAAATATAGACAAAACGATATGAAGATATTTGACTTTAAAATTAAATAAATGTGGAAACTTCGGATTTCATCCGAGAGTTATGTGTACTGCAAAAAGTGCATGCGACATATGAGTCATTCTAGAATGCCTGAACACGAAAATTATCATGAGAAACTAGACAATTTGATTTCTGGATGGAGTTTTTGTGAATTTTGAGACGTTTTTCAGGCGATGTTTCGTTAGAAAGCTATGACTTAGTTCAAAACTAATATCNGCGATGTTTCGTAAGAAAGCTATGACTTAGTTCAAAACTAATATCAGATTTAGAATCAGCGTTAAAAACTGAGTCGATTTATATATGTTGTGAATAATTCTGAGAAAAAATGTTTTTTTTTGAAAAATCCCTGTACTCCCCCTCAGGGATGGTCTGATCAAAAATGACAATTTTTTCGACAACTCAGCCATTTCTTGACGGATCCTTCTCATCTTCGAACTCGATCTAGATATTGAAAAGACAATTCTGTGCACAAAATTTCAGCTCAATCGAATGTAATTGTGAAGAGTTATCGAATAAACGGACGGCCGGACACACTGATCGATTCTATAGTGTACTCTTTTTTTTTGAGTACACAAAAAAGAATGTGACTACGAATTGATCCTATTAATTATATATTTACCTTGTAGTCACTATCAAATCATTAAAAATGGCCATAAGCGCATAGTCAGTGAAAGAAAAATACAAACAGCACTTGCTAAAGAATATAAGAATAAATGAAAGCGAATAAGAACAATGTTTTGAACAGTAAAATACACAAATTCTAATGATAATTGCTAAATCATGCGATATTTACAGTATTTTCGATAGTTAAACGGTAGAATCCTAAAACTAATTTGCTTTAAAACAAAACAACAAGACGAGTACCATACAAATCCGATGGAGAAAGATGGAATTCTTTACTTATTGTAGTCAAACATATAAGACTGAAGATTTTATCTAAACGTGAAAAAGTAATTAAAAATTATATTTACGAATTTGTTTTCCTTCAATTAGAACATCATCAAATTTGAATTCCTTTTCGATATTTTATCTATTCCTTTTTCGTACGTTTTTACATGTAATGCCAAAATAGATTTCTCTCTCTATGAAAACAAAATAAATTGTGTTACATTCAACGATTTTTAGTAAATCTATTTTATAATTTAATTAAAAATATATTATCGCATGATCTTTATATAGATTCTTTTTTTTATTCTAATGAAATATGAATATTTTGAATTAGTCTCTTAATTGATATTTACACTAGCTTCAAAGCATTAACAGAAATTTGGTTACCTTAATGCGCAGTCAGTGCATAATATATAGATTTATAAAACAGAAAAAATCTATATGCATGCTATTTTTCAGCATGCAATATTCTAAGGAAAATAGTCAACAGTGAACATCATTAGGTTCTATTTTCGATATAAATCTAAATTCAGAAGAAATCTAAGAGATCTGCATTCTATTACAAATTAATATTTACATATAGATATTTTGAGAGACTTTTTTTGTGCAAAAAATAATCCACAATTTATTTTAGCATGTCTTTTTCATTAATATATTTCTATAAGCATATAAAATGACTTAAGATATCTTTTTTTCTAAAGTATTGCACGGTTATAATTGAGTCAGCTTTTCTTCATTTAGAACAAAATATATAAATGTTGAAAAAACAACAACATTTATTGGCTGTCGGTGTGGGTGAGTTTTCATGGCGCGAACATTCCCACCCACCTACACCCACACCCTTCGCTAGCTCAAAAAAAATCGTTATTTCTTCGCAAAAATTTATTTGTAACAGACTAAGGGTCTAGCAGCTCATACGTAAGTCTTTTACTTTTGATGGTGATAATTTTGATTATAAATGATCGAGAGTGTAACTTCTTCATCATTTGAATCTTGATCGTCTTCATCAAAAATTCAGACATAGACAAAATCAAAGAAATGAAAAGATCAAACGGGAGAGTGGGGAGAGAACATAAAAACCCAGTGAAAAGTACTCACTGATTTTTATCGGATTTTTGTGGAACAAAATCAAAACTAAAATCGATTGATAATCTTGATTTTGTTGCACAAAAATCCAATTAAAATCAGTGAGTATTTTTCACTGGGAAGAAAGCAGTTTCTATGCCAGGAAAGCAATCGAAAAAGATAGATGAGAGAAACGACACCACCCATAACAACACGTAAAATAATATGACGATTATTTTATATATGAGCGTGGCCAACAAACATTCGCGAATAAGACTCATTGATAAAATCGTCAACTGTAAAACTAATCTTGATTATAAACATGACAAAGACCTCACTTGACAACCAACACCAATTGTTACCCTCAATATCAATATTACCTATGATACTTCTTGAGAGGAACAATGATCATCAAACTCGAACTCGAACTCGAACTCTTCGAATAATTAAGACAAATCATTACCTATTGTCATATACATCAAATAAGTAATGAAACTGTTAAATAACATAAAACAAATATTCGTAGCACTTTCGTCGAGGACTTTCACATAGAAAAAAATGACTATAATATTTCCCTTAAAATTCTTTATTTCTTCCACTAATATTGAAAACTACAAAAAAAGCTTTCAACGCAACTAAAGAAGAGTTACTGTTGATTATCGCTGCACTCACACAAACATGCGCATGCATATATGTTGAGCACAACAACTGGTGTATTTCTTCTCCTCATTTTCAGTAGATCCGCCTCAATAGTGAATGCTTTTGACGAATATCATACTTAACTATTGTCTTCCGTCGCAAACGAAGTCTGTGAGTTCCCTCGATCGTCCAACATCACATTAAAAATGAATATTTCTGACCATGTATCTATTTGTCTATTTTGCTCAATTCGAAATACAATTCACGAGTTCCTTTGATCGTCGAAGATCACATCGAAAAACAATATTTCGCACAATCTTTCTCCTCACCTATTTTGCTTAACTGAAACAAAAATATAGTCAATTGCTTACATCGTTCTCTCGCATCAACGTTCTGTGTGCCTGGATCCCTCACTTCAATGCAATGCTTGTGAGTATTTTCGACCATGGAACAAGGGGGAAACTACTAGTTGTGAGTTTGTGATTTAAAATGAGTTTGGGTGAGTTTAGTGATCTAAACTGAGTTTGGGTGATTTATTTCAAGTTTCAGCTGAGTTAAATCAGTAGTTTCCCCCTTGTACTCAACACTGTCGCCATTACTTCCACTGAAACGCATAAACTCTTACACACATACTCACATTCTCATCCTCACTAGATTCTTCTTTCATTATTTTTCTACGTAAATTATAGAGCTTTTTACATAGCATCTGCTGGTATATTCTGGTTATTAATAAGCCAAAATGCTGAAAACGTTAGATGCAAAACGCGTGATGCAATCAGAATGCTCAATCTAATACTTTTTGCAGCTGTTGGCATGCCATCTCCTTCATATTTTATCATAGACATCAAAAATCGTTTTAAACTCAAGCTACATGTGGCTTTGTAGAGAATGTCAAGTGCTATCTTTTAGTAGAAAAAGGTTTTTCTACCACAGGAATAAAATAGGAGAAATCCTAAAAATAGTAAAAGGGCAATTATTTATGGTCCATCTGCGGGTGTGAGTATAGAAATGAAATATTCACACTCACACCCAACATATCTATTGGATAGTCTACATTGTAGTTTGTTGATTAAATTATAAATAATTAAATAAACATACTTTAATATAGACCTTCACCGTTATTAAAGAAAGATTTTAACATTCTTTTTGCATCGGTAGATATTGGTTCATTTAAAACGAACAACTCAACTGGTTCAAGGTTATCAATTAGACATTTCATAGGTCGAAATAAACTTAGCTATCTTGTGCCTATATGTTTTAATTAGATCTTAATTAAAAACCAATCATGTGATGGATGCTTATGTGTACCCTTTAACAGATGGAGCACTTTTATCTTTTAATAATTGGAACACTGATTGATATTTACCAAAATTTATGTTGCTGCTATCAGCACTGTAACTAATTAATTAAATTTTCTAAATCTTGAATTATATTGATCAATAACTCTAGCAGCTTCTTTTCGATCATTACTAAATTCAATTAGTCGTAAAAAGTTCAATTAAATTAAAATAAATGTTGTCGTCGATACATTTTACCCTGTGGTTGCTAACAGCAGAACGGAGAAAAGTGTCAAACGTTCTATGAATTTGTCTTCACATTGCAGATAAGAAAAAATGCGGACGACAGCTTGTTTTTATTCAGATGCAGAATGGATGTCTCGCGACATTTGTAGCAAAAGTAAGTTTGAATACAACAGGTGACTATTTTTGCTGTTATTTTTCATAGTGAGGTGTCGTTTCTCTGTAAATAAGTGACTGTGGCACAATCCATATGCTTAAACCAACGAACACAATTCTCTTTCGTTGGATGTAAAATTCGACAAGTTTATTGTTCGTAGGCTGAAATTCGTATAGATAAATGTGTTTATACTTGAACCGTTTATGTAATGCGTTGAAAGTACAAATGTACCGAATCCACCCTTTCCGGAGTTCAGTTTATTCAGAATCGTATTCTAGTAGTTGCTGTTTTTATAACTGAGTTATTTTGTAGATTGACCACTATATCATGCAACCGCAAGGACAAAATTTGAGAGACGGTCACGGCCAGGGGATACCAGCCAGTATCCGTCCACTTATGGAAATAAACCCTGGTAATCCGAGGCACTCCACGCCAACACCTCCACCAATTGCTCAAAACAACATTCGAACTCATTTAGCAACTCTTTCTTATCCTCCACAATTCACAGGTTGGCCTGGAAATAATGTTGGTCCATGTAGTCCAGCTTGGTATAGAGGAGGTAGTTCACGCACACGTTTAAGATATTTTGAACGTCAAAGAAGAAAATTTCTTTCTTTGCAGTGCAGCCGAATGGACCCGTGTACGTTGTAAAGCCTACTGCTATACAATACAGAGTAAGTGGTCACCACACGCTAAATTATCATTCTCTATAAAAGAAATATTTCGTTTTTTTCAAGATGCCAGAAAATCCACGCCCAATGTCTGCTGCGGACGCTGTACGTCAGCATATGGCACTCTTAAAGCCTGTCTTTGACAGAGTCATTGTCAAACAATACTTACCTGCGACCAATCTCCAAGAAGCAATATATCTTTATAATCAGCTACAGAATATTATCCTAACAAAAAAACCAGGTATACAACAAACAGTATATTGGACAAATTAACAATATATAATATGTTTTTTTAAATAGAAGCCCGAGTTACTTTGTATGGTTCCGTATCTTTTGCTTGTTGCTTGACTGATTCAGCTGTAATCGATATTGATGTTCAATGCAATGAACCTTTCCCTTACAATACTCTACGAGAAGTGTCGGAAAGCATCCATGCTTCTGGTATACAATATTCCACCATCCACTATACTGAAACTATTTGATATTTCATTAGGATTCGCTCAGAATATTCTCCTGAATGTAGATGGTGACCCATACTTTGTTGAATTTGCTGTACGAGGAACAAACTACCGGATGCGTATTACATCAAACTACAGCAGAGGGATCCATTTTACAGAGCTCATTAGTCTCTATATAAGATGTGATACACGCGTACTACCATTGTTACGACTCTTTCGATTTTTCACTAAAGTTGGCTGTATTTTTTCTATCGTATAATAACCTAATGGGATTTTTTTCTCATGTTTTCATTTAGATTTGCTCTTTGGATAAACCAGATGAAGGTACACTGCATCCGTTTGTTTTTCATAGCATGGTCATACATTTTCTTCAACAAATTGATAAACCCGTGTTACCTTGTCTTCATGAATACGTAAGCATTCGTTTCTCGTGCTTGCTAACTTTTGGTGTATCATATCGAAAATGAAAGGTACTTGGAATTGATCAAGCACTGTTTAAATTGAACGACGATCAATATATCGAATTTTTTCGTGTTTGCAACGACGGCGTTCGAACATGGAAAACCGAAAATAATATGCCCATTGAATTACTTTTTCTTCAATTACTCTCTTACTACGACTTATGCTTTGCCTTCAATCGTTATATGATTTCGATACAAACGCGAATGCCTATTCTAAAAGAAAATAAACAAAAGTCACGTCAAAGTATATACTGTGCAGGTGATATATCAGCTCAGATTTCATGCTGATGCTAATTTTTTTTGTTGCCTAGATCCGACGGATATCAATCGAAATTTAGCTTACACAATGAAAGCAAACTCTTCATTAGAATATCTTCAGAAAACTTTTAGGAAAGCATTGAGTTATCTATGTAAAAATAACAAAAAATCATCAATAGAAAATACCTGGATGGTTAATGAAATTAATGGATCATACATAACTTTCTTTAGTGTTTTACTATCACATATCAGGAAAAGTGGCGATATCACACAAGACGATATTCGACAAACATATTATCACACATTCAACAATGAATCGAAACATCGATTCCAACCAAAGCTTCAAATAAATCATAAAAATGAACCGGATAGGTAAATGAAAGAAAATGAATTAGTTAATTGTTGATGGCATATTGTTCTCTTTGTCGCATTGTGTAGATTAAACAACGAGAAAATCGGAAACGAACAGCAGATCAATTATAGTCATAGTTTGGACGAAAATATTATTGAACGGCCTGTACCATTTGAGACTCTCGTTCAATGTCTTGATGAAAATAAAAAAGCTGCGTTCAGATTTGAATATCAAAAACACGGTAATATTTATATGTGCAGTCGATAAAATATGTCCTGATATTCCATCGTTTTTGAATACTAAATATAGGATTCGGTTTCAAAAATTAAAAAAAAGAATTTAATGAAATTTTCTCTAAACGTAAAGCTTATCAAATCGAATTTTTTCATGATTTATTTTGGAAGAAAAAGCTCAACTATTTCAAAGTCGTACTAAACAAATAGACAATCTCTGAGGCCTAATTCAGAATGATTTTCAATATTTCTTTACTTAATTATAGTTCGTGAATTCAATGAAAAAATGCATGATATTATCAATAAACTTAAAGAGCTGCCAACCTCTAATTCAAGTGCATCGCTTGCTGTTACAAAAGAAACACGTTCTCAGAAATCTGCAGGAAACGTCAACGTTTCGGTTCAACTAGAGCACATTCTTCCTATTGCTTTATTGAAAACACTAGAAATCATGTCGCTCAATAATGCCGCCAATTTGTCTCATGATTTTGAAGCAAAAAGCTTCTGTGGCAATAAGGTATGAGCTTACTTTTTTCTATGGATCATGTTAACACGATAATTTGATTGTGTTGCTAAGGGTCCTCCACGCGTGTGTACAATTTGCTCTAAAACTGACCATGTGAAGTCGGATTGTATCAAATTGTCCTTGCCAAACACGGTTGTCTTGCCTAAAATCAGCAAACGCTGGGCTGATGCGCTCTCACAACTTTGTCGAAAAATTACAGGTACAGTTACTCGATGGATTGTCAGATTTGATTGTCTTTATCAACTAAGATCATTTTTAGATGAATGTAAAATGACCAATCAAGATATCGAACAGCGCGAAACCATCTTAACTTGTCTTGAAACAGAATTTCGAAAAATATACCCCAATTGTCGTCTACATCCAGCAGGCTCATATAAAAATGGTTTCGGCTTCCGACAGAGTGATCTCGATGTTTGCGTTCAATTGGAAACAAATGTGTGTTTTGGATTATACGAATATTTCTATCGAATAATTATGTTTATTTGCGTTCTAGACCAATGAATCTAGCATTCAAACTTTGGAAAATTTAGCTGAGTTTCTTCAATCAAAGCAGCATCTGTTCAAAAATATTGAAATAGTGCGCAACGCTCGAGTACCAATCATTCGATCGGTTCATGTTGAGTCGAATATTGAAGTCGATATTAGTCTAAATAACATGCTTGTACGTTGTTGTGCCTTTCAAAAGCTGTTCTAACACCTTTATGAAATAATTAGATGATGAAAATATCTATTTTCGTTTTAGCCTATTGAAAATACTCGACTGCTAAGAATATATTCCGATATTGATCCTCGTGTTCGTGAATTAGGCTTCGTCATAAAAACTTTAGCAAAAGTATGTCATGATGATTTAGCCATCGCTCTGTCTAGTCGAAACATCATAATTTCAAGTAGATATTCGAGTTAATTCTATGTATATTATTTTAGCAATGCAATATATGCGATGCAAGTCGTGGAACACTGTCAAGTTATGCATACACAATCATGATGATACATTTTCTACAGCAAATTCAACCACCTGTTATACCCGTGCTGCAACAAGTTGTAGTCAATTTTTTGTGAAAAGCCTTGCGTAACTTTTAAATTCTAGTTGAACGATCATTCGTCAGATAATGTTTCGCGTGTTCGAAAATGTGGCGATTGGAATGTTTATTTTTATGATAATTTAAAAAATCTAGTTCGTATTTATAATTATGTTGATTGATTTAGTTAATCTTGTGTGAGGACATCATGTTTTCTAGAGTCAAGTATGGGATGGCTATGGCTTGAATAAATTGTCTTCGGGTGAATTATGGGTTGAGTTTTTATGTTATTATACTGAACGATTCAATTATGATACTAATATTGTTACTATTCGGCAAGTGAAACCTTTGCTGCGCGCGGGAAAAGGATGGTTTCATCCAACTATTGCTATTGAAGATCCATTTATTTTAACTCACGATTTAACCGAAAAGCTATCCTTGAGAAGTTAGTAATAACTACTTTTGTATTTTTTCAATAATGTTTAATAGCCGTTGTTTTTATTACGTAAGATTGGTGTAATATTCGTCGCGTGTTTCTTTATGCTCGAGAACGATTTGGCTTACAGCCCTCTAATATTGATTTTTATAGCAACGAGTCAAACACGGAACAATTGCAGGTTTGATCATATCTTTGTTTCATACATAAATATGAGTGAAACAATTAAAACTGAATCTGCTTCTAGGAATATCTCTTTGATAAGACTGTTCTATGCACAGGTAGCGACACCAAGTAAGAAATGTCAAATCACAATCATTGTTAGTATTATGTTTTTAATTTCTAGAGATTAATCTGAACAAAGTCAATAGCAGCCAAGTTAATGAACACGTGAAAGATCGATTTACATGATTTCCCAGTCAAAAAACGACTGTTTAGCGATCTTTAAATGAGTTTCTTAACGGAAGACATCTATTTTCGTGCATCAACGATATTTTTATTGCCTTAACTTAATGAATAACACTTGACGTAATAACATTCAAAAATACATTAACCCATTCATGAAAGAAGAACACTGATCATTCTGACAATTCCAACTTTTGTTTTTCAGTCAAAGAATTTTTGCCTAATTCACAACATCCTGACAAACGATAATGTTTGTTCTGCTGATTTAGTATTTATCTCGTTAAGATTTCAATGACTGTCGGTTTGAGATATGTTTTACGATAATTCCCAACGTACGAAAGATATTCGATAAGTATCGGTCTGATTTACTACTATTTATTTTACAAGATAATGCATCATAGCCATCGCAGACATGTTTACCATGTCGACATTGAGTAGGCTTTTCGTATCAAGACGTATCAGTAGTTAACATTTGAAATACAGGGATTTGCGTGTCATATAGGATGTGACTGTTGTCTTCATGCACACACCCTCATTAATGTGATCACAATGTAGCTAATGAATGTCTCATATCTGTAGATGACTTGCATTCAAAAATACTTTTTGTCGAAAAAAACGATCCCTGATGGACTCGGGCCCTTTGGTAGAAAAATATTTAATCACCATAACTAGCTAAAACTAAACATAGTTGTATAAAAAAAAACATTCACTTCATCAAATATGAGTCGTCAATTCTAGAACAACACTTGGTCTTCGTGTATCTACCATTGGATCAAATCCAAATGTCATCAGATAATCTCCGGATAATGAATTTTGAAAAATGATCGTTGAGCTATCAGTGCCTGGATAGATATTAATCTCTTGAATTGTGTAGGCCCTCATCGAATCAAGTCCTTTTAATCGAACGACACCATTACTACCAGCACAATAACGATTGCTAATCAAATATGTAAACCAAATTGCTTTGTCTTGATTTTCACTGACAAACATCAATGATGCAATATCATGCTCGTGTCGATATGGAGATACAAGTCGAAAGAGATCACCATGCCAAATAATATCTTTTAAACGCGCATAACTATGAAGTGCTTGTTGACTGAATAGCAGTTCGTTTTCATCTAATTTACTAACAACAATATCATAACCTAATTTGCCCATCATAGCAACATCGGTTCGAAATTTTAACGATTGTTTACCCCAATCAGTGACATGATTGCAAATAGAAATTGCTGGAAAAAAGAATGAATAACTCCACTGAATGAATATTCGTTCTAATCCATCCGTATTGTCACTTGGCCAAAATTCAGTAAAATATTGTAAAACGCCATAATCAATTCGTCCACCACCACCTGAACATAACATAATTGATACAGATGGATATTTTTTTCGGAGACGATCTAAAACACTATATAAACCACGAACATAATCAACGTATAAATGAGATTGATGAGGATTTGTAGCAGAATAAGCATTATAAATCACAGCATTACAATCCCATTTTATATAAGCTAATTTCGGATGTTGAGTAAATAATCGATCAACAACGTCATAAACGAATTCTCGAACTGCTTCATTAGACATATCAAGGACGAGTTGATTACGAAAATAATATTCGGATCGATTGGGTAGTTTAATAACCCAATCAGGATGATTTTCGTATAGTTCACTCTTGGGATTTACCATTTCCGGTTCAATCCAAATGCCAAATTTGAGACCTATTGCTTCAGCTTCGTTCACCAAATAGCCAATACCATGTGGTAACTTTTGAACATTTTCTTGCCAATCGCCTAAACCAGCACTATCATAATTTCTTGGATATTTATTACCAAACCAACCATCATCAAGAAGAAATAAATCGACACCTAATTTTTTTCCATCTTTGATTAAGTTAACTAACTTCTGTTCATCAAAATCAAAAAATGTTGCTTCCCAATTGTTGAGTAAAGTCAATCGATTGCCTTCACCTTGTGGAATTCGATATTTTCTTGCCCACCGATGGAAATTTCGACTGACTAGACATAAACCTTGGCAAGAATAAGTGAAAATAAAACTAGGCGTAACAAATTCTTTGTCGGGCAGTAAAAAATATTCTGATGCATATGGATTGATACCAGCAATAAGCCGTAAATTACGAAGTGGATCGATTTCAAATTGAATCTGATAATTGCCTGACCATGCCAATGTACCAGCAAACACTTCACCATAATCTTCATCTACAAGATTCAATGGTTGGCGTAATGATATGAAAAACGACGGCGGTTGAAATAGATCAGCTCGTGTCCCTAATTTCGTATCTAACACTTTAATACCTGCAGTTAATTGAATTTCTTCTGGGCTCATTTCTCGTGCCCAATTACCATGAAAATGTGTCAAATAATATTTATTAGTCGAACTAAAATATAGATTAGCCGAACTGTATTTTTGCAAGCGTACGACATCCGATTCTGTATGTTTGATACTTGTCCATTGTTCAATGACATTTTCTTTATAGTAGGCTTTATAGTAGAGAGTAACTTCAAATGGATAAACAGGATCTTTCAAATGAATTGTTGTTAATCCTATTCCATGTGATTGATCAAGAGTGTCTTGCTGATGAGAAACATATTTCAGTTCCAATGATGGATTTCCATCAGCATGTATTACTTGTATAGCAGGTTCAAGTAAATTACGTGTGCCACTCGGTGTATACGCAGAACTGAACAAACCAGTATAATCGCCATTCAATTGTTTAGCATCAAAACTTGGCATAGATGCATACTCGTTCTTGTTGCGAAGTCGTTTTCCAACATAAATTACTAGTGGATCACCATTTTCATTTATACGAACGACAAGTGCTGTATACTCAGTTTCAATCGGTATATGAATTGGATCAATATGGTTCCCTAAACGAAATTCAACACAGTGGATCATTGACTCTATTTTGTTTTCTAACAGTTATGAATGAAAACGTATTCCGCCTAACGAATAATAGATACTAAAGCTCATTTATCTTGTACATTATAACAAATGGTAAAAACACATACGTCTTCTTCTATTTTCTTGTTTATAATTATATTATAAATGAGATGATAGACTTAACTTCAATGCATCATCATATTTCTTTTTATACAAACGCTCGACTGCTGAACTAGTTAGCCGTCTCTTACCAAATAGTTATAAATAGCACGTTGAAAGGAAATTAACAGCAGTATTTCTGCTAATTTATATGACTAAGTGAACGCCTTCTAGCTTTTAACTTAAAAAATATTTTTCATTGTGCAATAATGGTTGTTTCAGAATGAATGGTTCTCCCAAAATTTTAATAAAATTTCTTATTATATATTTAGTTTTGTAAGTAGGATTCATCTTTTTACGGCACATTTGTTTAACAGCGTGTTTCAATCTTACTCTAAAAGTATCTTTCTCTATTACATTTTCTCAACTATGAAATGAGCTGATTCGTTTTGAATTAGAGAGTTTGATGATTAGACCTACCATGTTTATTTTTTATTTGATGGGTGTGAGGTTGCATATTGGTCTGTTGAAATCTTTTATGCTTGTTTTCGATTAAGCCTCATTAAACCATACTCATTACCCGGAAAACATTCTTTTCTGTAGCACTATAATAGAATATTTCGATCGGCAAAAATATTGATACTAGACTAGCTTTAGCTCTAAAACATAGCCCATGGTAGAACCATTCGATTTAAAATGAATCTGCTCATTAAATCATTCAACAAACGGAACAAAAAATTCTCCCTTATAAACAGATCTGTGCGATAATAATTATCAAAAAAATTCATCTAGGATTGTTTGTTGCTAACATTTTTCGGAAGATGATGCACATGGAAATAAATATTACTAAAATACGCAGTGGCTCATATTTTTTACAGTTTCCCTTGGAAGAAAATATTAAGGAGCTCCTCTCGATATTTGAAATAATATTCCTTGAATGTCCGAATTAGTACCGCTTCGCCGAGTTTAATTTTCGCCGACTCCAACTTCGCCGAATTTAATTTTCGCCGACGCCTATTTTCGCCGACTCCAACTTCGCCGAATAAAAATCTTGACCGAAAAATATCGAATCAAATTTGATCCATTCTAGATATAGAATTTTATCCTAACTAACTACTTTAATAGTGACTTGATTAA